ATACTACTCTCCTTTTAATATAATATAGATTAGTATGAAAAGCCTAATAAGCACGTTGTTCAATGTAGTAATTTTTTTTTTAAGTATAGAATTCTAATTTTTCTTTTAAATTTATTTGTGTTATGAAACAATAAAAAAAGAAGAGTATTGCAGAGAAAAGCAAAGAGGAGAGAATTCTTATTGATATGGGATGAATTACAATGGAATAGAACCCTCTATTTATAGGGAGAGATTGGCTTAGCCACTAAGCAATAAACACTAAAATCTCTCTAAATATAGACATTCACCTTAAATAGAATTCTATTTATAACACTCTCCCTTGAATGTCTATTCAATAAATAATGTGCCTCGTTAAAACCTTAACTAAATAAAATCCAATGGAAAAAAAATTGTAGAAAAGGAAAGAGAGTACACATATCTAACAATACACTTTTTGGTTGCTTCGTTAAAAACCTTGCACGGAAAACCCAATGGGAAAAGACCTTGTAAGGGAAAAAGAGTGCAACGCGCATTAACTCCCCCTGATGAGAGCATCAATTTACATCTTTAAGCATTTGCATTTCAATCTTGTGCACCATATTCAAAGGATCTTTGATAGAGATTTGATAAATAAATCAGCCATATTAACTTGAATGAATATGTTGAACCTTGAAATCATCATTCTTAATAGATGTATTGTCTTCATATGATCTTGTTGGAATCGTCAGTTCATTATCTTCACATAGAGATGAAAACTCTTGCTATCATATTATCATGCTTATAGTTATAGCAAGATACATTTGTGCACAAATTGCACTGAGGAAGCGGCGCTTCCTTCAAGATCAAGAATTGTATATGCTTCAAGCAACTTAAATTCTTCATGGATTGTCATATAAGTTAAGTCATATAAGCCATATAATAGACTTTAGATGCATATCAAGTTTTTATGTCATATGCTATACATATAAGATATTGGAAACTGATTGCACATACCATTGACTTTATACTTTCAAGTATTTGAACAACATAGATAAAATTATATGTCTTTCATATGAAACCAATTCTATATTTAGCGCTATCATAGATGTCGTCGACGAACATTTTATATCAGTTCCAATATTTTTTCATAAAGACATATCATAGAGATCTCTTCATTCATATATTCAGGTACCTGAATCTCTCATGAGACATTATGAAGTGTTATGTCATGTGATCTAGATTATTTGTCTCCTTTATTATGATCATTTTGATCATTTGCTCATCTTCTTTATCAAGAAGCTATTTGAAACCGATTTGTCTATACGCCTTAAGCGTACCATACACTTTGTCCTTCTAGGACTTAATATGAGCATTTGCAATGAGAATATAGTTACTTTCTTTGGGTAAGCAAATGCGTATGACATGCTTGAAATATATTGCAAACGCATTATCTTTTTATGAACTTCAAGTTCATATTATGATATTCGAGGATCTATATATACAAATGATAATCCGTTTCACGTAACTTTTTCTCAAGTGTTTATCATGTCTACCCCTCACGTTAGAAAAACTAACTTGTTTTCTCAACTTTGAAAGTCCATCTTTGTGTGTCATGGTGTTAATCAAAATATATACCGCACATCAATAATAATAAGATGGAATTATTTGGGTCCTGACCCTGAACCATTTGTGAGGGGAGAATGTAATATACTTTCGTATATAACCTATATCAAACTGATATAGATAACTTTGTTCTCATCACCAACAATTTAGCTATTAAGTGAGGCACTCAATAAATTATTTTGCTAAACCAGCTGTGATGTAAACCAATTTATTAAGATGAACTTCTTGAATAGAAAATCTGGAAATTATGCTCGAAATTAAACTATTGAGCAAGTTACCTCGTAAAACATCATATTGCGGGTTAATAATAATCGCACATGTAACCATCTCATAGATGCATTTTATGTGGTATACATGGCAAGTGAATGGGCCCATATTCATTTTTGATATTTCCAGCGTTTATGGGATTCAATCCCAATTTTAGTTGGTCTACTAATTAATGAGAACAAGCAACCTAGAAGAATTCGTAAAGAACTTTCTAGTTCTTTAATGTTTACTCATTTGAATTCTCTTTTATTTTTGCACATCATACTTAAATTGATATGACTAAACCAGCTATGTCAACTGGATATCAATAAACTCCAAGTATATTATGATATGAGTTTTATATCAATAAAGTTCTACTTTATTGTGGCATTCTTTTATTTGTGTAGTACAAACTGAAGAATAAAGCGTGTAACTTTTCACATACATATTACCCCGCTGCAAGTTGTAGTAATAGAAGATATTAAATCTTTCCTTTATTTATAGTCTCAATATAATCAACCGCTTTCGCGTGTACTTTGGAAACTGAATAAGTTTCTTTGAGACTTACTACAACACAATACCTTATTGGTAATCAATTGTGTTTCTCCAAAATAGTATAATTGGCTCTTCCAGAGCTCTCAATTAATTTTGTACTACCACATATTCATCAACATTCATATGGTCATTTATCTCTTTCAAGGAGAAAGTTCTACTATTATGGTTATGGTCAAAATTATATGCAAGATATGTTTCTTGCATTAATGTTATTCTTTAATAATCGTATTACCAAAATATTTTGGTGTGCAATAGGTACGTGACCAATGACCATTCATGCCATAATAATGACATTATTTTCTTATATCATCTCAAACCTCCTTCTAGAGGTGAGTGTGGTATATTCACTACTACTAGCACGTTCATATTCTTCCAAGAATGAATATGTATTCATAAATTAGATGTTGTCATATTCACATCATGAATGGACCATAATCATCTATATGTGTTTTATAAAATCTCATGTCAAATCGATGACAAATACTACTTTCACAGAGTGAAGGATTATTTTGAGAATTCTTATTATTCTCAATATCACAATAATGGCGATTATAATTTCGTCTATTGTCACGTCCACATCCATTGATACATTCATAGTAATAATTTTGTCTTCTTTCAGACTTATCACATACTACTATCACATTCTCTAAAAGGAATGAGAATGAAGCAAATTCAATGGGACGAGTTTTCAATTTTTTGCCCACAATCATACATGAATTTGATCATGGCAAGACATAGAAATTTTACCACTTTGGGTGGTTATAATATCTTTCAAACTTCATTAGAGTTACAATCACAATTTATCGTCTTTGCTTGTATTTAAAATCAAATTATAGAATGTCAAGAATTTGAAAGAGAAAAGTAAAATACTTACCTTAAATCCAGAATTTAATCATGAAGGAAGTTCATAGAACAATTGACAATCATTATGCGCAATCCCAAAGCTTCTACTCAATTGATTAGAGTCTTGTGCTGATAACGTGTTATGAAACAATAAAAGAAGAAGAAGAGTATTGCAGAGAAAAGTAGAGAGAAGAGAATTTTTATTGATATGAGATGAATTATAATTGAATAGAACCCTCTATTTATAGGGAGAGATTGGCTTAGCCACCAAGTAATAAACCCTAGAATCTCTCTAAATATAGACATTCACCTTAAATAAAATTCTATTTATAACAATTTGAAACTTTTTATATAAATATTATCTTAGTTATACCACTTTTTTGATTAATAAAAATAACATAAGAGATATGTAAATAAAACGTTGAAAATATTTATAAGATTACCTTCTTCTATTTAAATTATATGTGATTATAAGAGATCATTTTTTCGCGTTGTCATGCTAGATAAATTGTCAAATTATTTTGGCATAATTGTATTATTGATACTCCATCGTATTTTCCTCATATGTTAAAGTCTCTTAGTTCGATAGCTGGTCAAATTATGCCGGAGAAAATAGAATAAAGAGGATATTATTAAACTTTTTTTAAGTTGCACCCCTTTACAATAGTATCGTAAACTTTCTAAACAATGATCATAGTAAAAAGAAAATAATGATGATAATTTTTAATTATTTTTTCCTTATCTTCCTAATAATTCAACTCCAAATCCAATTGTTTCCTATATGAGTATGTAAAGTTCAAACTACCAGTCTTATGTTGTCATATTCCAAGCATTTTCTATCTGTCATTCAATTTAATTTTTTTGAGCAGTCTTACAGTTTTGCTTTCTTTTTTTGACAATTTTTTTTTGAAAAAAAAATGTTTTCGGTAGATTAATTTAACAAAATAATGTACTTTTCCTTTTTTCTGGTTTAACGTAATTAATAGCTCATATACGTTTCCCAAATTTAGACTAAATAATAGAAATCTTTCCATTAATAGAATTACCAATTTATTATGGAACAAGAACTAAGTTCATCTTTTTAATTTATATTTATATAGTAGATAAGTTACATATAGTCATGATATGGTTTTCAAGTCAAATTGCTAATTATAATATCAGAATGAGAGAGACTAATCGGTTGCCATAGATAATATTTCAGTATTTGTATAAACTAAAGTTCAATATTTGCAAATATTGGCTAGACAATCGGTTTGCAAATATTAAACTTCAGTGTTTGAAATACTGGGAAAAATGAAAATCATATTTGAAAAGTATTATAAAATAGCTAGTTTCTCTTACAAATTTTCAGTTTTTTTTTTTCAAGTTGAAGTTTATGTACAAGCACAACTCAATTTGAATATTTTTCTTTTACACCTCAAACAAATATTATATGGGCTGCCCCACGGACAAGACATCCCGCGTTCACATAAGGCTCAAGGAAGGGCCGCACCTTAAAAGGGTGTGATGCAGACAACCTGCCCTAATGCAACATTAATGGCTGCTTCCACGGCTCGAACCCGCATAAACAACTTTATAGTTGCTCCGAGGCTTCCCGTTCAAACAAATATTATTTGAACGCCTATTAAATTGTGACAAAATAAATAGCATTGACAAAATCCATTCTCACAGATCTCACTTCTCAGAGTTATGATTGCCAGCTTAGCCAACATACTTTTCTGAAATGACTCCCTTCTGATCGCATTTTCATTCTTATGAAAGAACCAGACATTGAATAAACCAATTCACAAATAAACATAAAGCAAACGACAGAGTCAAGCCAATACATTTACCTAATACCAATAACAGTCTATTCGTCCAAACTGTTTTCCACATAAGAAGCAAGAGAAATGTAACAAACTAGCAAATCAAGGACATGATCACTTGCCTCAACTATTTCACCAGCTCCAACCGCACCTCGGCACTTGGAGGTTTGGAGTTGGAGGTGGGGGAGGTCTTCTGAAAAAATGGTGAAATAGAGAGGTGCCTTGTACAAATAAGCACATGACTATTGTTGCTTCAACCAGGAGGCAGGGCCGGAATTTTGAAGCTTATGAGTTCGGGATTCTAGTTCTTTTAAGTAACCTTCAAAATTAATAATTGTTTACATATTCAATCAATTTCACAAGACAAATACAAGTTTGGACCAAAGTTATTGGGCGTGGCCGTACCCATAACCAACACACTAGCTCCACCATAGGCTTCAACTCTTAACAAACTTCATCTAACCGCGGTATTGGCCCGAGCAGTGTTAGGGTTTGCTTTGTTCCCTGTTCTTGGAGAAGTCATCCAACAAGCAACTCTTATACCTGCTAAGCGGGTGCCACCATTCCTGCTTGACAAGGGCACAAGATATGGGGAGGAATGTATCCTTGAACAGAAGACTCTACTCCTTATACATGGCAGTTGAAGTCTATTTGAATCTTCACAAAAGTTTAAGACTATTTGGATCTTCACAAAATGCTCTCCAAGATTGATGATGCCAAGTGCCATTTCCGCTACGGCTATTATCTCTCTTGAAGCTATGAATTGCCAGGAACTCTCATGTGCTTATTTGCAGTTGGAGCAACCGATCGCAAGAAAGCAGTAGATTCTCCACCACCTGGTGTCCTGATAACTTTTGCTCCTTCCAAAACTATGTGGACGCAGGAAAAATGCGCCAGATCTACCTGAGACAAGCAAGAATAAAATATTTAGTTGTATTGCACACCTAGAGAGAGCACCATGAACCACTTAAATTGATCAATGGTCAACACGTTATTAGAATATCAAGTGAATATGTGTCTAGAGTCATCCATGTCTAGATTCATTGCACAAGAATAAGGAAAATTTTATAGAATATTCTATAGGCTACCTTTTCTTGATAACCAATGTTCTATAGGATACCTTAGCATATTCTATCTTTGATTTTAGAATATTTACTTACCAAGTTAATGAGAAGCTTTTTTTCTATTTTCACACTCACAGGAAGTCCACGGATATATTGACACCTGCACCGAGTCTCTTGATACCTAGATTATCCATATGTCATAAGATAGCATACTACTATTTCATGTAACATGGATTGATAAGATTGAGTACTGGTACAAAACTATCGATTTGGCAACATGGACGATATGATCATCAAGTTGCCTACAATCAATGATGAATGAGCTAACCATGCACTACCACACAAAGCAAAACAGGAAACAAGGAGAACTAAGAAAATAAAGAGAGATGGAACACCAGGCAGAGCAGTCTTGTCCAAACACCTTTGTCCTTTCTTATTTCACCTTTGGAAGTAATGGCTCTATTATGATCAAAGCAGTTACTCCCAAAATTTGGGAGATGCATTAACTGACTGCGTAAAGAAATTAAGCGAACCTAGTAATTGATCAAGTATAAATTGTTTCCCTTCCATTCTTTAAAGGATGGACAGGGAGTGGTTGGGAAGCTGTACTTAAGACTTGCCTTGGTCCCAAATTTTGGCTACTGTCTGCTGCAAATTTTCCCTGGATGCCATCAGTGTCAGCAATTGAGAACCAAATAGGAATTCAGTGTGCCCATGAAAAGAGTATCTATTTTGAGATGCATGCGCTGACGCACCATTGTGAACTGTCGACTACTACCTGTGAGGAACAAAGAGTAGTGGGAAAGAGACAATCAGAAACCACATCATCCAATCCTTCATGTTTCCTGACCTTATCTTTCCCTGTTTGTCACAAAAAGTTTTCCCAGGCTCACTCCTTTGGTTTAGGTAATGCTATCAATCATAAAAGACACACATTACTGAGAGGAAAACCAAAAGATAACGGAGTTTGAGACAAACCACTTATTTCATTTTATTCCTCAATCAGCATCTCTCCAAGTAGCTCCTCGCCAAATTGTTTTCTTTCCTGCAGTAGCGGGAATAGCAATTTGACATAGGCAATTTGACTAATAGTCTAAGACAGAAAATGAGTTCGAGTCTCCCCAAGAGCAAGGTGGGAAGTTCTTGGAGGGAAGGATGCCGGGGGTCTATTTGGAAACAGTCTCGCTACCCTAGGGTAGGGGTAAGGTCTGCGTACACACTACCCTCCCCAGACCCCACTAAGTGGGATTATACTGGGTTGTTGTTGTTGTAGTCTAAGACAAAAAATGAAGCCAATAAAGAAGACAGGGACCATTAAAACAGAAGGAAACTGGTGCACTATTTGTTAAAAGGGAAAAAGGAAAAATAAGTCAACTTAGCTGTTTCGATTAATGCATCAACCTCGTCATAAATAAGTCCAGATTGTGTAAGAGCACCAACAGCACAAAGAATTGGCTATCCCACTAGAGAAAACGAAAGGACAGCACATGGCTAAGCTCTAGGTATGTGCAATTTACTGTAAAAATTTGCAATCTCCTGATAGAGATAATTGCGCACACAAAGCATGTTCAGATAAATCAGTAAATGAACTTGTTAATGGCATTTCTTCCCCTTGGAATGTCCAATCGTCACATTCCAGCTTTAAACTCTAAAAGAGACACTCAGGACCACTTCCCATACCTTCTCTCTTCTTCTACAGAAATCTAAAACAACTTCTGATAAAGGAGAGTATCACCGAAGTATTTCCTCCAATCACGAAAATCAGAGACCAAAAAGCGACTGGGCAGTTAAGGTTACTATTGCATTCGTGCATAAATTTATTGGTAAAGTAAAAGGTTTCCATGGAACGGAAGTTCCAATTTGTATCCTGGCAGCCTCTTGGTGCTCTGTGGATAACACATACATATTTATCAATAAAAGTTTCAGAGGACAAAAAACAGTAAACTTAAATAAATTGGCAATAATCCAAATTGGTTTGGTTGGTCTGTTTATTTTTCTGCCTGTTTAAAGAAACTATTGCATGGAATGGATATACCGGATTCATGTAGTGAATGTAGTTTGGTTTTAAAGTATAGTTATTGATGTTCTCATATTACTTTAATGCTTAAGCCAATGAGTAGCAAAAAGAGATTTTAGATGAGAAAAACAAGATCAATTTGCTATTCTTTCATCCTCAAACTAATAGGAAACAAAATCAAAACAAGGCTCAATTAGTTTGGTTGGTCTGATAATTATCCCAAACCAAAGTAAAACTGCAAGCAACAAAAGTATAGTATACACAACGGCTTCCAGAAATTGCTAGAAGTCCAGAATGACATACGTGACCAGACTAGAGCATAACTAGCGAATTTGAGACGAAATTGCAAGTAAGGCAACACTTACTAGTTCACCAGTAATCTTTACAGGAGCAAACTCCATCTTTGAAATGGTGGAATCTCTTTATATCTCTTAACACAATCACCCTTTCACTCATCTTGCTGACGTACTTCATTAGCGAATGGCAGTCGCCACACACTCTAAGGTTCTTCACAATCATAATGATCGCACCAGGACCAGTACTAATGAGACCAAAAGCAAGTGCTAACTTTTCACTATGACTTCCCAAGGCTCCTTCCTTCTCTTCCTCATCAATGTTATGAAGCACCCACTCGGTTTCAGGCATGTAACCATGTTGTTTAGCTCCCGTAATAATTTCCTCCAATTTCGAGTATATCTCCTGCTTACGTGTATGAGCATTATCACCAGCAACAAATGTATGCAACTGACCATCCACCTCCATCGAACTCCATCCAGGATCCTTGTCAACATTTTTGTTCTTCATTAAACTTCTAACTCTTTCCACATCATCCCATCTCCCCGCTCCTGCATAAACATTAGATAGAAACACATGGCCCCCAGCATGCTTTGGCTCAAGCTGCAGGAGCTTCTGTGATGCAACTTTTGCCATTTCAATGTTCTTGTGAGCTCTGCAAGCAGAAAAAAGTGCACCCCAAATCACATAATCTGGCTCTAAGGGCATACTTTCGATAAATTTAAAGGCCTCGTCCAATCGGCCAGCCCTGCCAAGTAGATCTACTACTACAGCATAATGTTTCATAGTGGGCTCAATTGAGCACTCGCGTTGCATGCTATCAAAGATTTGAAGGCCCTGATCCACCCGTCCAGCGTGAGAGCATCCAGTTAAAACAGCAAGGAAAGAAACTTCATCAGGTTTGATTCCTGCAACCATTAGAAAGAAAAAAAAGTTTTAATTTTTCAAACAATTTTCTAGTTAATCCAAGTAACTCGAAGGACAAAAGAATATATGGAAACTACCAGCTAATCTCATCTGTTCAAAACACCTAAGAGCTTTATCTACATGTCCATGAATTGCCCAACCCCATATCATTATACTCCACGTACGAATATCCTTTTCTTTTAATCCACTGAAAACCAGGCCTGCTGACTCAATATACCCGCATTTCGCGTACATATCAAGCAAAGCATTACCAACTGCTACGTTCAAATGGAGCTTATTGTTCGAAATATTTTCATGAATCTTTCTCCCTGCCTCTAGTGCCCCAGTTTTTGCACAAGCAGAAAGTACAGATACAACTGTTAAACCATTCGGCTTTGTACCTTCTTCCACCATCTTGAAAAACAAATCCAGCGCCTTTTGGTGCAATCCATTTAGTGTTAACCCGTGAATCATACAAGTCCAAGAAACCACATTCTTTTCCACCATCCCATCGAAAAGTTCCATCGCTTTATCGACCTCCCCATTCCTCAACAGCCCACTAAGCAAAGTATTCCAAGAACCTGCATTCCTCTCAGGCATTTCCTCAAACAACGCCAACGCCTTACTCACCTGTCCAGTCTTACAACACCCATTAATCGCGATGTTCCACAAAAGCACACTCTCAGCCTTATTTCTCTCAGGACTTTCATCAAACAGTTGCAGTGCAAACACCACCAACTCAATTTTCACATACATTTCAACCAAACAAACCCTCACAAACACATCATACTCCAATCCCATCTTTAAAACCCCACAATGCACACTCCCACCAACTCCATTTTCACCTAATGCCGTTAAAGATTTTAACACAAACGGGTACGTTAGCCTGTCAGGCTTAACGCCCATCTTAAGCATTAGCTTAAAATATGCAACTGACTTTTCAAAACAAGAGTTCTCCTTCAATCCTCTAATTAAAGCATTAAACAAATACAGATTCGGGTCACGAAAACAATTAAAAATAGACAATGCATAGTCAATGGATTTACGTACAGAAGCTGAAGATATCAGCTGAGTAATGATTCTGCTATTTGATGATAAATTTTGGCGAATGATTTGGGCATGGATTTGTTGGAGTTGATGGGTGTTTTTGCAATTGTGAATTAGAGATATGAAATGGGTTTCATTCAAATTTTCATTATTATTATTCTTAGAGTTATATGAATTATTTGGTGGAGGATTGAGGATTTTGGGAGATCGTTTTGGAACTTTGAGTTTGGGAGTTACTTTCATTTTTGAACAGAGATAGGTTTGTAACAATAAAAAGCAACAGATTCAGAAATGAGAAGGAAAAATGGAAGTAATGCTAGTGCAATGGTGGCGGAAAAAGAATACTAGTAGTAGTACAGTGGTGGACGGAGAGTGACAAAAGATTGTTCTTTTTCTATTTTTTTAAATTTTAAATATTCCCTGCATTCAAAATAAAAAATAAAACATAATGCAACAACAAAAACGACTCAGGGAGTAGAGATTATAGGTGTTAAACGGGCGGGCTGGGTTGGGTTTTTTTGGACCCGTACGGGTTATGGTCCGAGTCGGTTATGGGTTGGAGCTTACCGGGTTTAACGGGTTCGGATTCATTCGGATAAAAATTGAACCGTAAGGGTTACGAGTTGAGAGGGCCAGGCCGAGGCGGGTTTAGTGTATTT